CATTTATGTGACATGATGACATCGCTCTCTATATATCGAATCAGCTGCACGGTTACAAATCTAAACCATGGCATAAAATCCATTAACAGTTTTTGCAAAAGGTGGATGCTAAAAATCAATGCGGAAAAATGTTGGCCGGAAAGTGGTAAATACTTAGGGTAGCTTTAGACAAAAAACTGAATTTCTCTCAACGCATAAATAATTTTGTAAATCGGGGTAAATTAGCAATTAAATACTTTAAATCCTTTGTCGTGAGTCAAAAAAGTAGCACAAAAGAAAATCTTGATTTACAAAAGTGGTTCTTTACACCGTTCCAGTCTGGAGTTAGACCTGCTATAGTAACGTAAGGCAATTACAAATAATTCAAATTTTTAAAAAAATTGGTTCCGCTGCACGGTACACCAAGGCAAAATTCTCCTTGTAAGGACGAAGCCCGAACGTCATGTAATTATGACAATAAATTTCATTCGTTTAGTTGCTACTATCAACGCCTTATGTACCTAAGGATGGTACATAGATTTTCTGGAAGATATTCGTTTCTTTTATGAAGTAAAAACTTATTCTCAGGGGTATCATGATTTCTATGGTTCAAAAATGGTTTTCCCAGCTATTGCAAGGCGGTTGCACAGGATATGTTTAATCGGCTTTGTTTCTTTTAGACATAATTGACATTGGCCATTTGTTGATAGTTCCATGTTTTTAAGGTGATACTTAACTGGAGCATGTTTTCTGTCAAGAAGGATTTCCTCTTTCTCTCATTGGGTTGTTTTTGGGAGTAGTCTTTTTGCATGCTTCTGCTCTTGAGTGCCAGTATTCTTGGTTAACTAATGGATTAAATTTTAAACTAAATAAATTGTGTGGTGCGTTGAATTTGTCCATCGTACGTTTCATCACTTCCACGATATTGTACACGGATGGGTGTATTTAATGATGGTCTCAGTTGTCAGTTACGCAATGAGGAGGAAGAAACAAGACACCCATATCGTCTTAGAATGCAAAGCGACCGCTCAATGAAGACCTAACCTGGGATATAATGAAGGATCCCTTTCCCAGAGAAAGGAATTGTAGCAACTAGAGCCAATGGGTAGTACTCCTTAAAAGAAGGAACAATGCGATACAACCGCTCAATGAAGACATAACCTGGGATGCAATGAGGATCCAATGGCTTAGTGCTCCTTAAAAGAATGATCGAATCGATTGCTCTGAACTAAAGAACTAGGAAAGTACAATAAGTCGTTGTACCAAGTACAACCCCGAACATAACAAGCAATCTATCTAACTGAATTGCAGTTTTGTTACAAAAGCTTATTTTTATTACATATAATTCTATTAAAGAAGTTAAGGGAGAATTTAGCTTTTGCAATCTTGTTATTAAAATGCTTGACCAATGCTAATTTACCTAGTACCTTTTAGATTGCAGATATTACAGTCTGGATTCATCAATATTTCTTGCTTGTTCAGGGCTGTTCATATCGCTTAGTCGATTATTGCCGGTTATTTGATCCGTGTTCACGGTGCATCGCGTATCATGTCCGACTATCAGAATTCCACCCAAACTATCACATGGCATGTAAGCGTTTCCGCAAATTATGCGATTTACCGCTTTGAAACACCCGACGCGTTGACTTCGGATCTAATTAAAATCAACTCAATTAATGGATTAGAGTCGTTATTTAATTACCGGGGAAAAGTGGTAGTTGAAATTGGTTCAGATGTCTTCCAAAGGGCGGCCGGCTTTTGTGCCGAATAATCCTACAAGAGGCATTTGGAAGCGGTTCCACAATAATCTCGGCTCGAGTCAATTATCCAATCCCGTCTATTAACATCACAACAAGTTTATAAGGCTCGTGCTATTCTGATAATTCGCATTCGGATTCCCTCTCTTCTGTCTGTGTCTCATCTCAAATCAAGAAACGTCTACCTTGACTTTTGAAGACGTCAAACGAGAGAAGGAAAGCTAATTTGAAAAACCTGCGAACGCCGATGTCAATTATGAGCCGATCACTTTCTCGATGAGCAAACACGTGACTCTCTTAAACTAAGGGTAAAGCGGAAGGAGAGACAAGGATGCTATAGGAAAAAGGGGGCGAATCAACATGACAAAAGAGGGGCTCTTTGAACGTGGTCAGAATTTAAAACTTTATTTACGGGAGTGGAGAGAATTATTAGGTTAGGCCCAGGTCCATCACGACATCAATTTGAAACTGTGGATAATTTTTAAAAATAAGATAACAAAAATTATTATGCAAAGAATAATAAATCTATGAGATGGTCATATCTCAAGATCGGTTAGTTCCATTGAGTTAAAAGTTGTTTTGTTTGTTTGTTGACATACAATATTTGTCAGTTAGCATATGTTTATACAATGTGAGGAATTTTCGGCATAGCACCTCTTGGTATAATTGTGCTCCGTCCACTTGATAAAAAAAAACATCTATACAAATATATACATTATGTAATTAGATACAATATTAGATACGCCTGTTCAGTTCCTGTCTTTTTATCTGTAAGTATCGGTTCCAGGTTAATCGTGTGACAAGGTAGCGTACAAAGTCGGTTTTAAGGATAGGAATGTAGTTGAGTAATAATGTGTGAGGGGTTTTGCTTCTGAGGGTAAATGTAACATGGGTGCATTGATTTTTATTAACTTTTATCATCCAAAATTTGATCCATTCGATTATTCGTTAGAGTTGTGTCTGGAGCTTCTCCGAGAAGATTGCAGGATCGGGATCAAGGATAGCACGGCTGTGTCTTCTGTCCAAGATGCAAGGCGGTAGAGGGTGTAGTTGGGGTGTCTGAGGGTAGAGGTTGTACAGGAGTGGTCCGAGCACTCCCGCTCCACAGGATAGTGTTTGGAGTAGTCCTTTATAAGGGCGCGTTTTAGTTTGTGTAGAAGACCCTCATGCCACGTGCGTCAAACGCTTGTGACACGTCTAGGAAGGTCCCCATTAGTATTCTTTACGCTCTAAGGATGGTGAGCTACAACGCGAAGCACCTGCTGGGGGTTATGGAATGTTGAGAGCGAAAACCGAATTAGTGGTCGTTTGTGTTTGCCGGGCTTAGGAAAAAACATGATGTTTGTGTATTTCCAGAGCAAAGGGAAGTGTGTAGTGCGGACTATACTATTGTAAGATTATGGATTTTTTTAGGGAATTAACGGAAAATTAGGGACATGATGAGGTAATAGCTAGGGGACTTGCGATTCGTCAACCGAGTAAGGATATGTTTAACTTCAGAAGGAGCGCTACTTTGGGAGGGGTTGACAGAAAAAGGAAAGGAGGTATTAATAAATCTCTGCTTCGTTAGAAGTAGTGTTCACGTCGGGATGGGAGGTGTCGCATTAGAGTGTGGGCAAAAATATTGGTTTTTTTCATCATCAGACATGGATTGTTCCGTCACGGAGGGGAAAGGATAGGTTTTGGTGTTCCCGAGTGTTCCTTTATAGGTTATGTGACAGGATAGGGGAGTTTGGAAGGGAAGGCTGCATTGCGGAAAGTAGGTAATCCATTTTTGATAAGGCGGGGTAGTTTATTATAGGATTGGCGTACGGAAGGATATCTAGATCTTTGCCATAGATGAGGTTTTTGGGTTAGGAGGTTCGTAATATATGGGGAGGAGGTGGTAGCGGTTGATCAGTCAGGGCTCTCCAGAACGCTTGCTGTACAGCCGTAGTGAAGGAAGCCACAGCTTCGTCCAATTCGTCTTTAAGGAGATTTTGAGATCGATGGAGTTTAAAAGACAAGTGTGGAATGTGTTCCAGTCCATAGGGCCAGTGATTAGGGATCTTCTTGTATCCCTACAATTATGGCTTTTGTTGAAGGATCCGATTGAGGGAGAAGGTAAGAAGAACTGGCTGTCATCGAATGTTAGGCCAGTTATTGAGGTGTGTAAGGGTAGTTGATTATAAAGAAAAACATTTGATCCGATCACCTGGTATCAAACAGTCATGATTTTGGAGTAAGATTTAGTTTTGGCAATTCACCAGACGTCGTGATCATCAGTGACCTCATCGGGCTCGACATAAATCTTTTGACGATCCCTCAGCACGTGATGCACATTCGGCTTCCTTAAAACATTCTTCATCGGTATATTTCCAAAGGAATGAAAAGTCTCTCCTATTATAAATTTTCCTAATTAGCGACGATCAGTACTTTCACTAAAATTGCAGTTATCAGTATCAAAAAGGAATGAAAAATCACGTGTTTTTCTATTATCACAAGAAAATTTGAACGTCTACCGGGAAGACAACGTGTTTATGAAAAAGAGAATCAACAAGTATTTATCGCAGATTGTAAATACTATCGGTGTGGTCGTTTGATGGAGTGTAGGTGAGATGATAAGGAAACCTTGCAGTTTTCACCATTCAGAACAGGCGAAACAGACAGGTAAGAGGCAAGTTGGCGTTAGTTATACACGACAGGGACATCAGAAGGGGTCGCCGGGGAAACGGTGATTGTGGTCTCATGGGCAATGTAGAACAGGCAATCAGGATTTCTTGACGGTTGCCTTCTCCTTTTACGTCGTCGAAAGTCGAATTGAATTACGTCTCTACGCGAATTGTTCCTCCCTGAGATATGCATTCGAAGGTTACGGCCCCGGGGTACTTGGGTTGTTTATCCAAAATTGGAATTTCCTATCATCCCGTCGAATGTCAACAGAAGTATCTGATTGAGATTCCTTTCTTAGAGTGGATCGAAGTCACGATAGCTCAAGTTCTAGAGCAGCGGCGTATTTAGCCGAAGGTCGTGGGTTCGAATCCCGTTCGTTACACTTTTATTTGATCAATCGGACCACGAAGTCTAATGGGTTTAATAATTTTTATGTAAAGTGTGGTTGAGATAAAAAAATTATGTCACCAGCGGGACTCGAACCTACGACCTAATTTTTCATCTCCACCACACTGTACATAAAAATTAGAAATCAATTTCAGTAATTTCTTTGGTTAATAAATATGATCAAATAAAAAAACAGGGAACACTAATGAAACTACTTTTCAAAAAAGAAGTCTCTGGCTATTCTGTCTTGAGATGCCTATGTGATTGTAGGGTTGGGTTCGATTGGACAAGACTATTCGGTTGAGTTGATTGTGTAAATTTTCTAGAAATTGATTTTTGGCCAAATGGAATTTTAAGGTCGTTGTGGTGGGTAGTAATGGTGACGTAATACCCAGCTTTTATAATTGATCTTAGGACTTTACATAGATATTGGAAGGTTTAGCAGTTTCCCACAATTCTATTCAGCATGTCCAAATCGGTTGTAGTAGCCTTTTGTAGATTGTATGTTTTTCTGGCTTGGATAGTCGGCTCTATAAATTTGTAGAGTAGACAGTAGCGTCAATTTAGGTCTTGCTGTTTTGTCTTGTATGCTCCATATTAAGCGTATATCTAGGTGGAACTCAAGGTAAAGAACGCAGTTGGATTTGGACATAGGAAAATCATTGTAGCAGTTTGTGAGAAGAGATTTACTTCGTAGTGTAAATGTCCTAGATTTGCTTTCATTTATCTTCATTTGTCTACACCAGTCGGTGATATGTCTCTGCTGATCCTCCGGAGCAACGCAGGATCGGGGTTAGAGGCTAGTACATCTATATGTAGTACATCTAATAGTACAGCTAAGGTAAGGGTGTAGTGGCAATATTAAAGGATATAAATGATTTCCGAGCACGTTGCCGTGTGGTACTCCCACGGCCTATCTAAATCTAAAAAATCATAGACCTACCGCTGTAAACTGTCGGGAAAATTTATTCACTTTTTACATTCTTTTCTTTTTAAATTTTTTAACTTTCTTCCTGTATTCGTCAGTGAATGTGGAAGAATTTGGGTAAAGCGACGTTCGTAGGATAAACAATTGACGGTTAATTAATAGTTTTTGGTTTTTTATGATCGTAAACTTCATCGCGTTTCTTTCTATTTTATGTGCGAAAATCTTTTTCTTCTTTCTTTTTTTTGTAGGCCAAAGACGAATTTGTCGCCTCGATGCTTGAATAATGTAAATATCATTCGGGACCGATCCTGGAACGACTCGACGATTCGGAGGGAAACGGGTAAATAAAATATCTCCGCTTTCTTCCCCACTTCTCTTTCCTGTTCATTTCTTGCTGTTGAACTCAAAGTTATCATTCTGGCCTTACCATGATGCACTGCACAATGATTTGAAATTTAATTACTACATAAAAAAAATATAAAAGAGTAAATCACCAAGACGATATGATGAGAAGACTCAGTGGTTTTTAAGTATGTTAACCCTATTGGTAGGAGTATGTGACATTAGACATTAACTGACTTGCTATTAACCTCGAACTTGATAACTCCCATTTTGAAAGGTACGACATGTATGATCACAATTAATTATAGTAAATTAATGATTATTTGGAGATCATGAGATGCGGTCTGGTGTGACGTAGGTTTTAGAAAAACATTTTCTTTATCGTTCCAACGTTTCGATCTTTATTAAGATCATATTCAGGGCTCAATAAAGATCGAAACGTTGGCACGATAAAGAAAATGTTTTTCTAAAACCTGTCACACCAGGCCGCATCTCACGATCTCCAAATAATCATTAACTGCAGGTCACTAAACACCACACATATAGAAAATTAAGTTGATTTCGTATCGCTTTTAGATATTTTTATCCTATTTATAATTATTCTAAGCAATACACAACAAACTAATAAACACAAAACGCACAAACAGACAATGAACCTTATTTACATAGGGAAAGAAACATGTCAGAGTTTCATGGGGTTCGGTCAAGAGTTGCGTTTTGATCCGAATCAAAGTCTGCCTAATGAACAGCTCATCAACCTCAGCAAACTCTGGAAGTAACATACAAACTAGTTTATTTAGCAAATAGGCAACATAACTGCATAAGAGAAAAAAATCGAATAAACTATCGGCAAACCAAAAATACATGGGAAAGACATGACAGATAAAAGACAGGTACAAAGAACGTTTCAGGTCGTATAGGGACAAAGACGGAAAATCAAACTAGGCGACTCACCCATAAAACCACGATGTGAAAAAAAGTAGCAAAATACTACACTAGTAACAAAAAACAAAAACACAAAAATACTAACATACAATATGCAAGGAATAAATAATACATGTATATAAATAAACAGGCCAGACACATCATTTACACCAATTAAAACATAATATAAATTTGTATTGAGATTTATATAAGCTCGAATCTGCACATGTATGTACATGTATACATCACTTCTCGCAGTCTACAGGCAATTTTTTGTGTAATTTAGAATTAACCCCATAGTGAATCCATAAAAGACGCATACAGACTAAGGTCCGAAACATGCCTTTCTCCTTTCACGATCTTATAATAGGGACTTGAATAAACAGAACTCACGCAGGGAAATCCAACTCTGAAGATGACGAGAGGCCGAAGTACATTTAACAGACCTACCTAGTGAGGATAGGTAGACCAAAATGAACGGAACTAGGTAGAAAAGTTGATGGTGAGTGTTGGTCTTCGTACAGGGTTACTTTGGCTTAGGGGACGTTGAAGATGGCGCAATGCCGAAACGCGTTTAATTAATTAAAAACTTCGCGAGTGTAGACGGACCCATTAAGTAACAAGTGCAGATTCAACATAGGTAGAAGAGGATCGTCATACCGCAGACTCTAAGGAAATCTCACAGTTAATGCATGAGTAGATACCAATCAAATTTTCTTGATTCGAGTGCTTTAATTAGATGTGGGTACGATGCTGTTATCATCAAGGAATTTCCTTAGCTATTATGGTGATCGTCTGACGTGTCCAAAACTTCCTACGTTTAATTGCATCGATGCATCTTTCTTAGAGTGGCAAATGTGATGTGGGACACCTGAAAAAAAAATGACTTCGTTACAGAGCATTGCGGACGTATTTTAACCCAATTGATGGCAGACCTCTGAAATGAAGTTTCACGCGATTTTCCAATCCTTCGACCCGTTTTCTCGAATTTACTAAACCTACCCGTGGCAATTTTTGCTTATTCGCTGGAAAAGAAGCATGAAGGAACTTCATAAACTTTTATGGTAGGGACGGAACTGACGATAGAGGGTAGTAAAGACGAACATCTGGCAGTAGGACGAGCGGCTATTACACTGTAGTTTAACGCTCAACTTTACGACAAAAGTTTATGTAACAAAATTAAAGAAAATTCAACCCGGGGGGAGATTTTGTTAACCACATTTTGATAAGACGGGACAGGTACGTAAAACCTGCTTACTTTTATCTATGCCGAATATTCCATATTCGTCGGACACATCGACGGCACAAAATTACCATGTACAACGATCGTAGTTTTTCTCTTTAGTTCCTAAAAAAAACTTCTTTTGTGATAACAGAAAAAAATATTGTATATTGCACACATGATTTTAAGTTTTTCTCACTTTCTATTTAATTACTCTCAAATTTCAATTGTATTAACTGAATGTAAACCGTGCAAAGTGAATACAAGGGATGTAAGTTTAATCAAATTAAACTCGAGTTTGAATAATTCGGCATGTTAACTTTGTTTGGCTCATTCTTACTTTGCCACACGGGCCTAGGTGTATGCGTACACTGTACTTCAGTTTCTCACCATGTTGGCCTTGCTCTAAGTGTAATTTACCTTCATATTACGACCGTTAAGACCTTTCTTTGGGTCACCTCCGTAGGGAAACGTTAAAACATTCTTAACAAAACATCTAATATACCTAGGAAGAATCTTGTTGAAAAGGATACTAGTTAGTAGTTAGCTTGAAAACGAACATTTCGATTTATTAAGCTGCTAAAGAAGAAATTCATTATGTTTAGAGGGGAGGCATCATTTAATCAATGTCAGATCTGCTGGTGATAAATGCCGGGAAGAGGTCATTTTTCTTCCAATGTAAAAGCACATTTGTATATAAACAAGCTCCTTATTTCTTAAAACCGAATGACCTGATTATTAAAAAGTTGGTAACTTACTTAAAACATTGTTTTACGTGGTACAATTTTAAAATAAAAATTATTATCGTCGTCATTTTCATTCCTAAAGCTCTCAACAACACTTCCTTCAATGTCCAAAATTCTTGAAAGAAATTAAACTCATGAAATCATTACTTTTCACCAATTCGATTTCTGTCCTCCTCAGTCCATGATCCAATAAGGTTTCAGAGCTGTCGACACTCCTGTGCTCTTGAGATTCCTAGATGGAGTAGGGGTTTCCCCCCCCCAACGACAGTATCCCTGTCATTGGGCCATATATTTCCACCAGTTCGCCAAGTTGTATTACGGGTATTATATGTACAGAATTAAATTTGCACAGCAATTTACACAGTTATTCACAATTTAGATAGGTCCAAACTGTCTATAAAAGAAGAGAAACATTCGTGAAATTTATTGAAGACGTCTTTTTCTTTTATTGGTCATGTCCCTCCTTCTAACAATATCTTCTTGATGAATGTAGTTCTCGTTCAAAAGTTTTTCAGTGGTAAATGATGTGTTGCCGTGGGGCAGTCATCGATGATGCCGAACCGAGCCAAGTCTGACCGGATGATTTTGATTTTCATCCTGTGTCTTATATTAGGAAGAAATCTTTTTGTGACGGTGCCATCGGTTGTTGCCGACCACAATGTTTGCCACTGTTTTACGCTTTTGGCCTCAAATGTTTTTTTTTCTTAATGTACGTTAGAGGTGTCTTTGCGAACATGATAGACAACATCAATTGGCAATCTAGTTATGCCTTAACCCACTGAAGTGTTACCATGGAGTTTTTCTTCTGTCTTAGAATTCTCAGATATCTTCTACTCATCTCGATTGTCTGTGTTTTATTTTTGAGGTTTTGAACCTTTAACAGGGAAACTGGCTGTGTGTATTTACCCTAATGAATGTATAAACGATTGAAGTACATTTTGTATGATCAGACGCAAGGCTTGGTTGTTCGAACACCAGGTCTTTAAGTTGCTTTACAGGATTTTCACAGCTAATCCTTCTTTGTATACAATGGCTGGGCGCTTGATCTATTTTGCTCCAGTCCGTCTATATATCTAAATCTGGAATATTGATTTCTTCTCTTTGATGATTATCAACTTCTTCTGGATAAGTCCCATATTCTATAGGTAGATTCACGTATAATTCATACAGATAATTGTCGATCGGCTTTATTGCTTTATTTCAGACAGTTCTTTCATCTTGATATCTATGGATGTTATACCGAGTAATAGAACTGCTGCATGGTATGAGATGGTTCGATATCCTCTGATGATGTCCACTGGTGAAAAAAGGCGACGCTCCATTTTATGTCTCCAAGGAAACTTCACATAAGATTTAACGATGCCTTTTGTACGAGAGACATCTATCTACTCCCATTATCGCCAACTTCATTCAAATTCGCCAACCACCATCCTTCCAACCTTTTTTGTATTTCCAATGATAGTGAAACTAACCTCAATTAATTAGAGAACAGTTAGGACACATAGTAATACTGCCAAAGGGTAGTTTCACCACTCTTGTTTATTTATTTTATTGTGTACACTCATAGCTACTTTTTACCCAGTTGAAGATAGTTGTAATATTTAAATTTAAGAAAAACTTGTTTTGCACATGGTAAATTCATCCTGTGTGTAGTCACTTCGTTCTCCATTCATTTTTTCAGTTCGCGGTCTTATTTACTAAAATAATTTATTATGTCTATTTTTTTGGTCAAAAGTTAACTAAAGATAGACTTTTACCTCTATTTATAGTACATGGTCGATAACTAAAGATAGATTGTTACGCCTGTCTATACAATAATTATGCTAGAGATTTCCCTTCGTATTTTTTTCTTATATTTTTTCTATTATTTTTTATTATATTTTTTTCGTATGTTTTTCTTCATTCTCATTGTCACAGTGCTCATTCACTCATTTATTAAAATATCGAGAATCTTGTTGGGTTTTCCGATAGAAGAAGTTTGTTTGGATTTAAAATCGATCACATATGGGCTTGCTAATTTCTCTTCAGAGAACATTTTGACGCTACGGTCATCAATACTGGTACATTAACGTCTGTTTTTATTCCGAACGATATTACATTGATTTTTAATATGAATGGAATTAATTTTCGTATGTATATTAGATATAAATAGAGAATCCGATGTCGTTTTGGCTTTTCTATTATATCTCTTCTGACCTGATTTGATAATCTGTAGAAGTTAAATTGCTAAGGAAAATGAAAAAAAATAAAAAAATAAAGACGGTCATATAAAATTTGTTTTAGAATTTTTAATTAACATTTGAATATCAGGTATTTCCTCCTCTTGCCTTAAATACATCTCGAAGACGCCTCAGCATACTTTCTACCAGTCTGGAAATGTCTCTTTGCTGGAGGTTCACCCAGTTTTCACGAAGAGTCCTTTCAAGATAGTGGAGTGTGATGGATGTGTGGAGGATAGGTTTTGAGGTTATCCCGTAAATGTCCGAGGGGTTCAAGTCTGGAGAACGAGCTGGCCAGGCTAAGACCCTGTTGTTATGCTGATGAAGGTGCGTTTGTATTTGTACTATGCGAACGACATGTGGACGAGCATTACCGTGCATTAGAATAGGATTGTCGCTGAATTCATCGAGGATAGCCCCCCCCCCGATGATGTTCCAAAATTTCATCCGCATAGCGAGTGGTCGTCAAAGACCCACTACGAACAACAACCAACTCTGTGGGACTCTCCATTGAAATTCCCGCCCACACCATCACTACGATGAAAAGGTTGTCTCTGGGAAAAATTACAAGCTTCGTACCTTCATGTCGCCTTCTCCACACTCTTTCAAGCCCATCTGGAGATCGTAGAGCAAATCTACTCTCATCTGTAAAAAGTACAGCAGATCAATCGTCCAAAAACCAATGGCTGTTTTCTCGAGCAAATGTGAACCGTGCGGCTCCACGTTTTCTGGTCTATTCTGGTCTTCTTACGAGGCGAAAAACCATCAATCCATAATGATTTAACCTTCTTCCATCAGTGCGTTCAGAAATTTGAACACCTCGAACTTCCTGGAACTGATGAGTCGCTTGAACAACAGTAAAATGCTGGTTTCGCAAAATTCTCAAAATCAAAAACCGGTCATCCTGTCGTTCTGTTACCCTAGGGCCTCCAGAACCGAGCCTTACATCGGACCCAGTTTCTCGAAAGCGTCTAAAGGAGCGCTCTCTCGCAGAGTTTCGTAGGGAACTCAGATGGCAATAGCCGCATACGTGATGGAACGTCCGTCATCAAGTGCCGCACCACGCCACATCCTCAACACTAAGTGGCATTTTTAAGTTTAAAAATTGAAATTAAGAAAACAAAGATGAAAACTAAACCGTTTATTGCTTCAGAATTCAAATGAGACTGAATAAACATTTTAAATTCCGTAAAAATTAAACATTGAAAAATCCTTCAACCTTGTTTTGGTTTAAGGATTAAGTGTGTTTACATCTAATTGATATTCCCTATTTAAAACATAGCATAATCAAATATTTATTGACAAAAACAATGAGACGTATTAAGGGCAGAAATTTCTTTTCTCTAGAAAATGATTTTAAAAAATCAATTGGTTGGAATTTTTTGCCTGTCAGTGTAGTTTTAACTGATGTGTAAATGGAGTAAAAACACCTCATATTCTTATTTGCTGCAAAACTGTCTCATAGAATACTCCAGTGCTGAAACAGAGCGTATTACCCTTTAATCTGTAGAACACATAACGTTGTCGGGTAGCTCTTAGCCGTTGTGGGATCCGATTATAAATAAACCTTTTAGCGGCGGTTTGAAATCGTAGGCGGTGAAAACAGGAAATAAGTTTAAAAAGTGCTTCTTAATTTATACGGGGTCGCACCTGGGACGGCAAAATTATGGTAAACGGTTCCACGAGACCGGCGTTATTTTCCAGGGGATTTCTTTCTGCGCTGGCAACACCGACGGCGGCCTTTAACGGCCATCCTTAGCGTGGTAATAATCATGCTAAAAGAATTTACTGGTTTGTTTAAAAAAAAAAAAAAAAGACAACGAACAATTACTTGACGCCATTCTTCCAGGGTTCAGGAGTGTTTTAAATGGGATGCTATACTCCCTTCGTAATATTTTTATAGTGGTTTTCTTTTTTTCTTCTATTTTAGTTTATGATAACCAAAACCATGTCTTCTTAACAAACTCTTTACAAACCTATATTATTCTGAATAATTTTATTATAGAAATAGAGCCACTAGGTCTTGTCTAACGAACACTAAAAAGTTCACCAGATCTGATTCATGAGCTTTCAAATTGCCTCCTTTATGATTGACAGTGTTTTTTTTTAAATCGTTTAAGTTACATTATTACCAAACTATAATTATTTGAGCTCTGTATGATGAATAAGGTATATTTAGCACTGAAGATCATACATTAATTATCATTGATTGAGGTAAAATATTAAACATTAACAACATTCATTGGAAAAAGACAATATCATAAACAGTAACTTCGTCTAGGTTAAATTTAATTCA